AATAATTGTTCGAAAAATTGGAAAACTCAACAATGCGGTTATATTTCTTAATAATTGCATATGCGACAGTCTGAACCAATTGTGTGTGTGTGTATATATATATATATATATATATATATATATATATATATATATAAAATTGCCTTGTGCTAAGTGATCCCCAATGTTTAATTTCGCAACAAATGTTATTTAAATTAAAACATTCAATCCGTAATTAGTCCAATTATTGTATTACATAAAATTTTATGCCCAGTATTAATATTTTATGGCGAATCTAGATAACTTTAACGAGGGGGGGCCAAAATTTTAAGAAGGTTCTAATTTTGACGAGGGGGCAAAATTTTGACGGGAAAACCAAGATATGTGATAGTGTGGCGACGACATTTTTTTTTGTTCGATTTTATACATAAAATGATCCTTTTTCTGGCTTTTATTAAAAAACTGCTCAGAGCCCCCCCAGATCCGCCACTGCACATCAAAATATATGTATTAATAAAGATTTAAAAAGACACAAACACGCACGCACGCACGCACACACACACACACACACACACACACATATATATATATATATACATACATATAATTTAAAAGTAATAAAGTATAGAATAATATCCAAAAAAGATCTACGAATGCCCAATACGTCATTATCAAGTTATCAAGTAAGTATTAATAAGTTGATTGATATTGTTAACGATAATAATAAAATTAATTATTATTAGATCTTATAATAACTACAATAATATATATAATAAAAATAATAATTATTATTATTATAATAAATGCTAATAACAATGCTAAAAAATTAATGTATGTACTACTAAAGACGATTTTTTTATAGCACAGCAATGAGTTACTATACATACAATATAAATAATTGCTTCTGATTATCAATCATTTCCAATTACAATTATAATTATGTCTATTATGATAATTATTAATATAATTAATACAGCAGACATAATTTTCTTGAAAATGTGAATGTAGGCTTAGAAACACATGGTTAGATAATTATTATCATTAGCAGGTCTGTCTTCAATACTAAGAGTAACTATAGAAATATATATATATATATAAGTATATAAATATATATATATATATATATATGTATGTATATATATATAGATTAAAAGGTAAAAAATATAATAATTCAATAATTATGACGATTATAGTAACAATGACCAAAATAATAATAATAATATGAAAATAATAGTAATAATAACACTAATATGCAACATAGGAGTAACAATTAAAATAAATCAACAAAATATTAATGAAAATGATACAATGAAATAATAATAAACAAACAGACAAACAAACAAACAGACAAACAGACAGACAAACAGATAATAATTTCAATGGACCAGTAACGACGATAATTCTAACAGCACGAACAAAATAATGGCATAATATGGTACAAACAACTGGACAGTAACAATAAAAATAATATAATAATAACAATAATAATAATTATTAATGACAAAGTTTTGAAAATTTTGAAAGAACTTTTGCCACAAAACAAGTTGTCCAAAAAATTGTTAAAATTATTCATCCATTACTGGCATCACCGTCACCACCATCGTCACCATCATACAGAATCATCCCAAACGCGAACAATAGAATCCAAAGATTACATTTAAAAGAAGATTGTTGAATGAAAGAAGAAAATTAAATCAATGAAGGTATGTTAGTTGCGACAGTCTCGTGCTCTCTTAATAATACATTTGAAGAAAAAAAACCAAAAAACAAGAACGCGTATTGTAGCTAATTAATTAATTAACTGTTTGATCAATTAACTGTGTTAAAGTTAAATGACCAATCGTTGTCCAGTTAAAACTGTCAACCAACCAACCGACCGACCGTACAATCAATCAATCAATCAATCAATCAATCAATCAATCAATCAATCAATCAATCAATCAATCAATCAATCAATCAATCAATCAATCAATCAATCAAACAACGAACCAATTAATAAATCGTCATCTAATTGCTTATTAGTAAACTATCATCTAGTCACTTATCATATAAACTATATTATAATAGTTACGACTTATTAAATAAACATCACAATCTTAATTTAATCATCGATAGCTAGGTGGATGTTTGGTGCAGGTAATAATGAGGAATAATTATAAAAAAAATATTTAACAATAATAATATTGTTATTATTATTATCATTTATATTTAATTATTTATATAATTTATTAATGACAATATTTTTTTAACTCCTTGCTTCTTACACATCTGATAGTCATTAAGTTGTACTTTTATGTTATTTTACTATGTACAAGTTAATAAATATACATTGGCCTCATCTTCCTCATCATCATCATCTTCTTCATCATCATCAGCTTCGTCATCACCAATTTTATAAAAAACACACACCCTTATCGCTATGGTGATAATCTACCTCATATCTGTTACCACCAATATCATCATTTTTGCTATCATCATATTTATCACTATCACCATCATCATCATTATCATCATCCTTCCCCTCCTCCTCATCCTCCTCCTCATCATCATCATCAAGATACAAGTCTGACAGAGTTGCCAGCGAATGTGTGGCACCTCTTCCTCTTCTTCAGCACGTGCATCTCCTCGTAATGATCATCATCATCATCATCATCAGGTGCGTTATCATAACCACCGACGTTGTTGTTACTGCTGATGTGGTTGCTGGTGGTGTGGTTGCCACCTTTGAAGACAGCAGTACGATGTGATGACGATGAAGTTGATAGGAAGGAGGATGGAGATGATGGTGACAACTTCGAACTTTTCACCGGTCTCGAGGGGGCAGTCTGTAGGAAGTTTTTTGAAAAGTATGAAATAAAGCCAAACACGAACATGCCAACAAGCGTAGAACAACAACACAACAACGATTATTATAATTAAGTTGCATTAAGAAGAGTAAGTAAGAAAAATACACACCATGGCTCTAATGTAAGGATCAACAACAGAGTAGCACAACTTGGAGCCATTTATTCTGTTGTATTCTTTAACCTTATTATATACACTGATAGTATCGTTACAACTGTTGTTGTTGTCGCTATAATTGTCCTTGTTGATGTTGTCGTTTTTGCTGCCATCAAATGATATGGTTGCGAGATTGGGTTTGCAGATGTTGTTGTAGCTTGTGAATGACTTGCTGATGTTAGTGATGTTGATAATGTTGGTTGTCTGGTTTGTTGTCTGTTGGTAACTCATATTATCACTGGGGCCGTCTAGTTCTACCATGCCGGCACTGTTATCTTCCGGCTGATGTCGTTGTCGTTGTTGATGTTGTTGCTGGTATTGTTGCAAACTCAGAGACTTCAAGCTGCCATCTCGTTGACTTTTTGCAATCTGACAGGATTTAAAAAACGAAATACTAAATATTTATTGCAACACCTCTCATGTCATATCATTACAATTATTATTATATCATCGTTATTACTATTTAAAAATATAATG